ATGACCAATCACATTCACTTTATTCACTTGTGTAAAGTCGTCCACCACTCGAGAGAATTTAGAAATGGGTTGGAAAACGGTTATGACTTTAATTGCAGTTAAGTTTTCACAATTCAATATCGATCCACAAAACTCTCTGAATTAGTTCTGGATTAGTTCCTCCTGGCCAGTAAGTTTGTGATCTACAGCGTTGTGTAACTTTGCATCATACTGAAGAAAAATGGATGTGAATTTCTGTGAGCATCAGACATAGAATAAGTGGAGTATCTTCCACCCAGGAATTCAAGTTAACCAAGGGGTGAATTAAAGACGGTCACAAATAGAAGCCATGAAATGTTCAGGCAGACTATCATAATTAAAGGTGCCAACCAGAGTTTTTTTATTTTTTTTATTTTGTACTGTGCTGTACAGCAGCCCCAGATTGAAGTCAGAGGCGGGGTTTAACTGCTCATGCTAGTATTCCCATAGTCACCAGTAACTATGCTAAGCTACAGGAAAATAAACAACAGATCTTAAAAATCATATCTGGTTCTACCTAAGTAATAATAATGGACATGCAGGTGGCGCAGAGGTTAGTGCACACAACTCATGTACAGAGTTTTTTATTCTTTAGGCACGTGAGTCTTTAAAATGCCAGAACTTGCATAAAGTCTGTTTGACAGCATCATTTATAAACATTAAATCTGTTGTTGTTATCCAACTTTTTTGTTTCATTTTTTGTTTGTGTGTAAATATTGGATAAAAAAAAACATAGAAGTTTAACAGGAAGGTTATTCTACTTTAAGTTAATTTAAGTGCAAATAGAGGGAGAGGGGGTATGAAAAATGAGTTTTACTTCTTCATACCCCTTTTCAGACAATTTCCATTAATCGATGTCATTTTTCTGGCTATATATACCGACAGGTTTATTTGATGGAGGGGTTTGTTTCTATTTATTTTCAGGTGAATTTAGTTAGTTTGGAAATTGGTGTTTGGTTTGGTTGATGTTAACTAGTCTCTTGTGTGTATATTTGGTTGATTCACTTATTGTTGTTTGTCAAATTGTCTGAGAAATTGTATCAAATAAATTCCCATTTTTATTCATTCACAGTTACTCAGTACTCAAGTAGCCTTTCTACTGAATACTTTTTCACCTTTGCTTGACTAATTTCTTGGACAGTAAAATCTTGTCTTTTTGTGTTTCTAGACTACTGAGAAATTGGAGAAAACGACTCTGTCACTGGAACAGCTGACTAATGAGAAGAAAACACTTGAGTCGCAGGTAAGAAGGGATTGATAGGAAACTTTTAACACTTTTAACAAGGAGAATTTATCTTGTGCAGAGGTGGAACAAACTAACTTAAACATCAGCAGATTCTTGTTCAACCCTTTGTCTTTGGATTCAGTTTATATAACTGGCCGCATTCCCAGGAAATATGATCGGGCATTTTGATTTCCCTTATCTTTAACTGAAGATGGTTTACTGATACAAGGATCCTGCTTGTTCTCAATAAAATAAAAGTAAAAAGCATTTCTGTTATTTTAAGAGGATAGAGGCCTGCTGTAATGTTTAATCAGTAAGAGCGGTAGATTAATGATAATGGACATTGGTAAAGTGAAAGCTTGTTTTAAGTTGGAGTTTTCAAACACAGCATAGCTCACATGACTTAAGGAGCATTATTTTTCCATATACAAGAGAGGAAAACTCTTTTTGAAATTGGAAATCCTCTCACATGTATTTCTGCATCCCCCTCCTTTCCCACTGTGCTTCTTTTTTTATTCCATTCATGCAACATTTTCAAATGAAAGCTTTATGTATGTCTGCATGGGTTTTACTCAGTCTGTCCACAGCAGCGTGAAAGGGTTTGCACATGCACGTACATGGGCTCCGCATCTGCGGCCTGCAGGGTTTTTGTTGCACATTCAAGCTGACTGGATGATTACACAGACTGTTCTTGTTGGGGGAAATTCAGACTCAGCCATCGCTTTAAATTAAGCATGAATGAAACCCTGCAGCCTCCTCTGCCTTCTCTACATTTATGTTTTTATCATCTTCTTTTATCATCATTGTTTTGTTTTGTTTTTTTTCAAACTGTTCATTGTACTGCTGCTAAGCTCTCTGGTGCCCTCATGCTGTCTTTCTGCACATTCATCTCCCCTCTGGAACTTTCATAGCCGACAGCAGATGTTTAGCTTTAAGGCACAGGGTGTTTATAAAGCATAATTTATATAATTTAATCTCTCACAAGTTGTACATTCAGGAAGTTTGTCTCTCTTCATTTTTACAGGATAGACTGTGAGGCCTATCTGTTGGGGTTTTCGTTATAGACCTTGTTTCTGTCCCTGTAGTAAGATTGTAAAGTGGAAAATTCATTGTCTGCCATTTATTGAAATTATTTCTGTGTAATATGAAGGAGACAAGAAAGTTTTGTCTTCCAAAGCAACAGTTAGTGCTAATGTCAAAGGCAAAGGGTAAATTCAATTATATTTCTAGCATGCTGGATTTAAAAGCATCGCACTTTAATACTTTAGCCACCAAATATGACAGTCAGACAGGATATTAATATTGAAGACATTGTAAGGATGATTGGGATTTGGGAGTTTTGCAGATCTAGTTGTATGTTGTTACTTTCATTCCTGATTAAGACACCATTAGGATTTCCAAAAACATCCTAATGGTCCCCAAAAATATTTTGTAAACTGAAGATACATTTTTTTATTATTTCTGTTCATCGTTTAGTCAGTCTACTGCTTCTCAGACAGTGTGAAGTTGCTCTTCTCTCCAAACTTAACACACATCTATCAATCTCCTGCCAACAAAATGTATTTTCGTTTTTGTCTAGCGCTGGCTCAGCTCTCTTAGAGCTCCACTAGAGCTCCTCTTCCTCTCCTCCATGACAACTAGTGTAGAGGCTTGTTTTTCTCCACCTTCTGTTTTAGGATGTCCTGAAGATCTTCAATTCACTTCAGTTTATGCATATCAGAGACAATTCGACCAGATCATCCAGTCAAATTGATTCAAAGTTTTCTATGTAAGGAAAACCAGCTGATTGCATCAACTCATTGACTCGAAGGCAATCCCTCTCACTAAGCATGCTTGTAGCGACAGTGGAGAGGAAAACTTACTTTTAACAGGAAGAAACCTCCAGCAGACGCAGGCTCAGTGTGAGCGGCCATCTGCTGAGGCTGACTGAGGTTCAAGGAGACAGAAGCAGAGATAGAAAAAGAAGCAGAGATACAAAAGGCAAATGTCAACCAGCTCCACAGGCGGCGATGTCCCGGAAACACACAGCCAGGCAGAGGAGCTCTGAGCCAGCTCCCATGTCAGAGGATAAGGAGAGCACATCCAGTTAGTCACAGACAAGATATCAGATGAAGCTACTATGATGAGAAAAAGTAGAGAGCATAAAGTTAGAGATTGAACTAAAAACTAATGCAGAATAGGAGAATAGAGATGGTCCCTATGTCCTCCTGAAGTCTAAGCCTATAGCCAGTGTTGTGCCTGAACGCGTTCATTGAACGAAAGTTCATGAACTCGTTCATATTTTGGGCGAACGTGAACTGAACATACTGCATTATTGCCTGATGAACGTTATTGTGAACTCGTTCATTCTGG